ATGGGCAGTACGAGTTTATAGTGATGCCCTTTGGACTAACCAACGCGCCAACTACGTTTCAGTGTTGTATGAATGATTTGTTTAGGCCGTGGTTAGATAGATTTGTAGTTGTATATCTAGATGACATTCTAGTGTTTCGTAAGACCCTCCAGGAGCATGAGGGCCATCGTAGGCAGGTCTTGGGGAAGCTGAGAGAAGCTAATTTCAAGATCAATGCGAAGAAGTGTGAGTGGGCCAAGACACAAGTTTTATACCTGGGCCACGTTCTAGATGGAGATGGCATAAAGCCTGAGGGCAGTAAGGTAGCAGCGATTAGAGACTGGCCAACTCCTCGCACGCTGACGAAGTTGTGGTCGGTCCTAGGGTTGGCAAATTACTATAGAAAGTTCGTCAGGAACTTTTCCACCATCGTTGCTCCCCTTCGGGGGTTGTTAAGGAAGGAGGCAATCTAAAAGTGGAACAAAGACTGTACATTAGCCTTGAAGAAGGTAAAGCGGGCCTTGATAGAGTACCCAGTCCGATCTGTCTCTGCCGTTCGTTGTTACCACCGATGCAAGTCAGTATGGTATAGGTGCTATTTTACAGCAAGACGATGGCAATGGATATAGACCTGTAGAGTTCATGTCTGCTAGAATGCCTTCGGAAAAGGTAGCGACATCCACCTATGAGAGGGAACTCTACGCTCTCAGGCAAGCGTAATATCATTGGAAACACTACTTTCTTGGGAGGCACTTCAAAGTATATTCAGACCACGAAACGTTAAGGTGGCTGAAAACGCAGGCCAAGATGACACCTAAGCTTACTAGGTGGGCCGCAGAAATAGATCAGTACGACTTTGAGCTTAAGCCGATCAAGGGGAAATACAATGTAGTTGCGGACGCCTTGAGTAGAGCAGACTACTTTGGAGTAATAGTGCATTATCTGGATATAGGGAGAGACCTGCAACAGAAAGTCAAGGAAGCGTATGCGCAAACCCCTTTTTATAGCGACCTCCTCAAAAGAGTTGCGGACACCTTGAGTAGGAGAGCAGACTACTTTGGAGTAATAGTGCATTATCTGGATATAGGGAGAGACTTGCAACAGAAAGTCAAGGAAGTGTATGCGCAAACCCCTTTTTATAGCGACCTCCTCAAAAGAGTTAAGGAGGCTCCATAATCAGAACCAGACTACTGCACTATAGATGGGTTACTGTTCGAGAAGACTAACGTAGTGGACCGATTGTCCGTTCCCAACAGTGAAGAGACCTGAAGTCTGATCTTAGGGGAATGCCATGATACAGAGGGACATTTTGATTGGCAGAAAACATTAGCCAACCTTATGAACGTGTATACTTGGCCTGGTATGAGGGCCGACTACATAGAGTATGTACGCAGTTGTAAAGTCTGTCAGAGGAATAAAACTACTACGTGAGCCCCTCTAGGTTTTCTCAGACCCTTGCCTATTTCCGAAGGACCCGGAGATTCTGTGTCCATTGGCTTTATGGACGTAGGCGTCAGGAGTAGGCATGGCAAGAGCCAAGTCATGGTCATAGTTGATAGGTTTAGCAAATATGCAATTTTTGTTCCCTTTCCCTCAGAGGCACGGACGGATTTAGTGATACAAAAGTTCTTTGATCATTGGGTCAGTGACCATGGGCTACCGCTGTCTATAGTTATTGACAAAGATACCCGGTTCACTTGTCACAACTGGCAGGAACTAATGAAAGTCTATGGGTCTAAGTTGCTAATGTCATCTGGCCATCATCCAGAGACCAATGGTCAAACTGAGCAGATGAACAAAGTCCTGCAGCAGTTATGAGAAAGTACATTAGATCCAACCATGTTAACCGGGATGAGATGCTCCCAAAGGTAGCCAGCGCATACAATAATAGCGTGCACTTAGCAACTTGTCGCACTCCCAACGAACTGCATAAGTGCTTTAGACCACGCAGACCGTTTGAGGGACTTAACCGAGATCAGATTCAGAGGCTACCGCCCCGTACTAGGGAATTTGCGATACAGCACGAAAGAGAGATTGCTACAGTAGTTGAGAACCTCAGGAAGGCCCAACACCGAATGATGGAGCAAGCCGATAAGCACCATCGCCCTTCACAGTTCCAAGTATGCGACTTAGTCTGGGTCAAGTCTAAAGAGTTTGCTCCTGAGGAGAACATCTCAGATAAACTGTTACCTGCGTACAGGTGACCGTGGCCAGTCCCAGAAATGAAGGGCGGAGAAGATGGACTGTCCTACACGATAGAGATTCCAGCACACCTCCACACCTACCCAATTTTTCATGCATCAAAGTTGTTGCCTTGTACCACGAGTCAGCAGTTTCCATTACGGAGGTCTATGATCCCCCCGGATATGGATGGCAGGTACGACATTGATTGCTTAGTAGGTGAGGATGTCTTTAGAACAGGAGGTAGAGGTCGTCCACAAAAACAGTACAAAGTCAGATTCTCCTATCAAGAACCTGAAGACGACTGCTGGTTCACCAGAATAGAGCTTCTAGAGACAGCTCCCGTTGTAGTCCAAGCCTATGAGAGAGATAAGAAAGGTAAAGGTCCTGCCTTGGACTGAAGTATTCTCGGAGGACCTCGAATTTAGCCCGGCGGGAGTGATTTTCACCTTAGCAGTAGCAGATGCAGATCCCAGGGCTTGATCCCTAGACCTTACCACACCCGTGTACAGTATCGAGTCGACCCGTGTTGGAACCCGTGACCTGTGTTTTGATAGTTGACTGTTGTCTGTCGTAGGTCTGTGTAGCTATAGGGGTTCGATCTGTAGGTCTGCCGAGTAGGGGTTACAGTCCTGAAAGGTCAAGGTCGTAGCTGCTACAGTCCGGAAAGGTCAAGGTTGTAGCTGCTACAGTTCCGAAAGGCCAAGTCCACAGACTTCCGGAAGGTCCGGAAGTGGCCTTTCGAATGTTGCTCACAGCAGAACAGAGGCAAGTGGGCAAGCGGTGAGTCCAACCTTGCTTAGTCAGTGGTACCCAGTCCCAGTCTCATGTGCAAAATGGGCCCGGTGGAAAAGGGGCAGAGCAGCGACCAACAGAAGTATAAATCAAGAGGAAGCGTCCAGTCATTCATTCATTCTGCTGCGAGCCACGCGGAAGCGCTGCCAGTGCGTCTTGTGCGAGGTTGTCTGCAGTTTCCCGAAGACGAAGTGGGCTGTAAGGAAGACAATGCAGCCATAGAGACTAGTCGTACTAGGAATAGCAAGCAGCCATAGTTGTGCTAGGATAGGGTAGTTTTCAGTGTGTATGTGTATGTGTGTGCAGTGAGAGTGTGCGTCTGGAACATCCAGGGAGATCCAGTGAAGTGTGTGTGTGTGAACAAGTTGTGAGGATACAGTGACGAGGGAATGATGTAAGGGTGCACAGGCGCCATAGTCACTTAAAGCGAGTTTGTGTCTGAACTGTGTTCTCGCCTGTAATATCTCCGAGCTTCGTGTGTGGGCGCCTAGCGCCCGTGTGCTTTGCCATCTGTCTACATGCATGCGAAGTGAGGAGAAAGCGAGTCTGATTGCACACACACACACACACACACACACACACACACACAGAGAGAGAGAGAGAGAGAGAGAGANCACACACACACAGAGAGAGAGAGAGAGAGAGAGAGAGAGAGAGAGAGAGAGAGAGAGAGAGAGAGAGAGAGAGAGAGAGAGAGAGAGAGATTCCCTTCCATCCGAATGAGCCAGGATGCATTTTGTCAGAGGAAAGAAGATACATATGCACCGTTATTTTAGGGAACGTTGTCTCAGTTGTATTCCCAAGTACTACTACATAAAATTGTGGTATCTGACTAAAAAGGAGGGGAAAACAAAAAAACGAGTAGGAATCTCCCGAAATAGTACTTAATGGAACGGCCTGAGGTGGGGTTAGAACCAGGGCGCTGAGGTCAAGACTGAAGGCATGGGTGCTAGGTAGGGTTTTGAATCTGCAGGCTTGGTGTAACTATGGGACATAATGTTGGCGCAGAGTCTAGAGCCGGTTGGCTGCTCTTCTAAAAACATTGAAGGGCGCTTCTAGGGATGCTTCTAGGGATGCTTCTAGGGATGCTTCTAGGGATACTTCTAGGGATGTCCATGCTTCTACAGTCTTCCACCGAATACAACGTACGGTCATTATAGCTGAATTTGGTCTATCTTTCCGTCTAAATTCAGTTATAATGACCGTACGTTGTATTCGGGGGAAGACTGTAGGGATGTCCATGCTGAGTGTCTGGGTGCCGTTGAAAGGGTTTCCCGGCTAGCGTTGTTAACCGTTGCAGAAGACTCAAGGCAAGGGCAGGTGAGGGCAGTAGCAGTCCCTCTGCCAGTGCTTCTACGGATGCCCTTGCTGAGTGTCTGGGTACTTCCCGGCCAGCATTGGCACCCGTTGCAGAAGATCCAGAGCAGGGGTGGGTGCGGGCAGTAGCTGTCCCTCTGCCAGAGGTGGTCCGAGCTGGGCAGGGATGGCCCTCTTCGTTGTTCTTGTCTTTTCTTTTCTCACGTATTTCTATCTGACTGTATGAACGTTTGCTCGCCGGTAATGAGTAGTTGAACTGGTGGCCCCCCAAGAATAGACGGGGCATGTGTGTTGTGTGCGTAAGAAGGAACAGGAGAACTGCCCGAGTGCTTTTGATGTAAAATTTGGATGGCGATAGATGTCATCCAGGTACTGACGCTTCACTCCATCACTTAATCACACAAATGAAGGGAGAAAAAAGAAAGGGAAAAGATGCCTACGACTTTTCCTTTATTGCATTTTCGTTATTCTTCCATGGTGGCTCTGGGGAGGGAGGAGGTTATTGCGGGTTCCCTTTACAACGCCTTCAAAAAAGGTTTGAAATGACTTTAATAAAGTTTAATGGCCTGTCCAAATCTCACGGAGAAGGGTCCCTGGGGGGCATGTCAGAGTCATCCAGGTGCATTTTGACTGAGGTCTCTTTCTTCTCCATTTGAAAGGCGATGATGTTCCTACCGGTTTGACGAGGTTTGTGTAATTTGGTTGGGTTCGTTTATGATCTGCTGCAGCTTCAAGCATTGGAGGAAAGTGCGGAGATCTTGAGAGAACGCTGCCAGCGGTTGTTCAAGGGCTGCAAGCGATACACGTGAGCTGTTGTCTGGCCGCCTCTTTTCTGCTGCCCAACCCCCTATTTTTTCTGCTGGAATGTGTGCACCGTTAACCTGCCAGCCAGCAAATGCAGATGCTGTTTGACTGTGGTTTGGATGCAAAATGTGTGGTTTTGCGCAGGTGTCTTGGTGTTGAAGTGTGGATGTGGACGTATCATGGATGTGTGTGTGTGGGTGTGGGTGTGGGTGCGTGCGTGCGTGCGTGCGTGTGTGTGTGTGTGTGTGTGTGTGTGTGTGTGTGTGTGTGTGTGTGTGTGTGTGTGTGTGTGTG